AATTTAGAGTAGTCTTTGCAACCCAGAGCTGGCTGGAATCTGCCACAGACTGGAACAGGTCCTGGCCAGCCCCAGGCTGTGCAGGGAAGCCTCACTGGACACCAGGCTTGTCCCTATGTGCATAGGACAGCAGAGCTCTGCAGCAGCAGCTCTCCTGCCCCATGCACATTAGGAGCCCTCCCAATGTGTACGGGGCCCTACCAGCCCCTGGGTTAATACCTAGGGGGAGCCTAGAGCTTCCCCTAGTTGCTTCAGGGGGGCAGAACAGAGTGGAAGCAAATCACTTACTACACTTACTGCTCAATATTCTTACTCTATACCTGCAAAGTGCTTCTTATATGGATGCAATTATACTGATGAAGTTATCAGCATGGTAAATCCACCTTGTAAGAGAAGTTACTTTCTTAAAATCTGCAGTTCTGGCAGTTAAACTGTATCTATCTGAGGGGCTTCTAGCACAGCTCTGTAAGTCAGGGAACATACCTATTCACAACCTTATATGGCATATGTGCTGGCAGAAGTCTGAAGTATTGGCCTGAATGTAAAAAAAGGCTTGTCCCCATGTCTCTGCAGAATTAGAGCCTTAATCCCTTATCCTTTGGGAACTGACTGTTTTTATTTCTCCATTTTGTGCAACACTGAGCAGACAGTTGGTGCTAAATCATCATTAAGAATTCCTCATATGGAAACATAGCACTAGAATGGAAAATGTCTCATACAGAATCATGGAAAATTAGGGTTAGAAGGGACCTCAGGAGGTCATCTAGTTCACCCCTGCTCAAAGCAGGACCATTCTCAACTATATCATCCCAGCCAAGGCTTTGTCTATTCATGTCTTAAAAACCTCTAAGGATTGAGATATATATGTGTGTTATACATATATACACACATAGGCAAGTACATACAGATGCCAAAATGTGTTTTACCTATGTAATGGGACTTTTTGTTTATAATGCAGCAGGACTAGAGTATTTGTCACCCTAGAACAGGGATGTCAGACTCATTTGTTTCTCCCCCCAGGCTAGATTTGTATTTGGTCTGGCGCTGCTGCTGAAACATGTCCCTGGTGCGGGACCTGCTCACAAATTTCCAGCCCCCTAAAAAAGCCCTACAAACCAGATAACACAATTCTGCAGGCCATTTGGCACTCTATCCCTAGCAGTTTTCTCTTCTCACTCCCTTTCTTTTCATAATGCCTAAAAGTTTACAACTCACTTTCTTTCCATTTCCCAACTCTTAACTTCATGTCTTCTACATCAAGCTTCTGGTATAAAAATGCCTTTTTTTCACTACAAATTCACTTTCTACCAATCCTATTGATGGCAACCCAACTATTATTCCTTCATACACAGACCTGTGTGTGCGTGTCATGGATTGCCTAGGGCACACACCAGCAAATAAATAATAAAAATGTTTATTTTAATAAATAAAACACAATTTAAAATAAAAACACAAAATGCCCATGATACCACCTCAGAGTGAACACTGAGCTGGCCCCAAAAACCACATTCTGACTGATATCCACAAGTGTTCTTGAACAGAATCCCTACTCCTCAACATACAAACAGTGGAAAAATTACCAAAGATCAAATATGAACCCTTGCCCACACATGTAACAGAAACTTTCTCTCATCAGAGACAATTAAAACAGACCAGAAATATTTCCTTTTAATGAATATTATGAATGTATATTACTAATAAGGGATTATATTACTATACACATTTTTTTTCAATTGGTCCTAATAAAACGTCTCCACAGTGCTGCTCTGAAATATTTATCTGTCATTTTCCATTTATTCAACTTAAGTTAGCACGTTAAGTGTCTTTTGTATTTATTTCAGAGTATATCTTAGCACTCCAACACAGTAAAGAGCAGAGTATACAATAGCTTTATTGCTATTCACTTAGAGACACTCTACCATTAATAAAAGGTTCATCCTCTCTCATGAAAATCTAATTTCTAGCCCCCAGGTACTTCAAATTTCTATTTTAGTCACCACCCATAATGTCAAATTTTCATGGCATCCAAAATGCTTTTGCCTCCAAGAATGAAGTTTACAAAAAGGATGACATGAAGTTTATTCTTTGCAATCATTCTATTTAGTAATCAATGACAGGACCACAGAGGAAGCATTAAGTATGAATGCTCAGCACAGTGTCTATGTCTGAGAGGTTATGTATTGGAGGGTTGATTTCATGTCTTCTAGCTATTGACAAATTGTATGTGTCAAATGGTGACAGGAAAACACAGTGTTAATGTAACATTCCCCAGAGGATTAGTCATGCTAAAGGGCCACAGTAAGTGCTGCCAAATAGTTAACAATACAGGTAAATTGCCTTTGGGTTTTCTGGCTTCCAGAAAACTTACACCCAGATGCACTCAAAAGGAACAACATGGAGCAGGGTTAGGCACCTAGATTATGCAGATTCATTTGGTTTCAGCACAAAAATAGAGACATAACGCTGAATTAAACAGAGATAGAAAGGTTGTATGTCTTACTCCAAAAACTCCTTCTAACAGCACCTGTGCCACTATACCCTTCCCCATCAATGAAGCGTTCATCATCAGAGTGTTTAAAGGCTGCACAACATACAAGTCAGTTTGAGAAAAAGTGGATACCCAGTAAGTTAATTTCTCCAGACACTGTAGTCAAAAGATGTATTCTGCTTTGCAGATCAAGAGGGTTAAGCAGAAGTTTACAGGGGGAAAAAGGAAATAAAAGAAGAAACATAAAAATAAGCCTCAGAAGATTTGATTTCGCCACAATTACTTGAGGAGGAAGATATTGCTCAAAAAGAGTAAAGGTGGCTTAATCAGGTACTACAGAAAGAATTATTGATTGCAATTCATCAGTGCCTTGACTGCATATAGATTCAAATACTTGCTTAGCCCTAGTGTGCAGGCTGCTAAAAGCATACTGAAAAACATAACCAACTGAAAAACATAACCTATCATTCCAATTATATCAGTTAACATTTTCAATCATAACTTATCAGTCTGAGCCCCCAATTCATAAAGTGACTTTGGGACTTGGGAATCTAACTCCCATTTATTTCTAAAGAGATTTAGGCTAAGAAGTGCCTACATCGTATTGTAAAATATAACTTAGGTTCCTAAATCCCTTAGGTGCTCTGGGATTTTTTTACTCACACTTAAGAAAATCCCTAGCAGATAAGAACCACTATCTAATATGTCACATGTAAAATATTATTGCTTTAATGTTAAGCCACATTTCAAAAATGAAAAGAAATCCAGCCAATTCTTGTAACTTGCATACATAACAATGACTGCTCCAGCAGACACAGGATTTGAAGTTTTTAAGCAATCTTTCATAGACTATTAGTAGTGCATCTTCCAGATCTACTTTGCTTATTTCTATTCAGTATAAAACTGCTGGAAGATAATAATAGATAAATGTCACAGAAGTTTTCTTGGGACTTTAGTGAAGTAACATACGCTTCCAGTCTACATGTGGAATTGAACTGGAAAGGAGAATGCCAAAGATATTAGCTTGTTGTTACTTTATGTCATGCCTTATGAATATGTGAGCTGCAGAGCCAAAAGGCCTCCAAAGCAACAGTCTCCTTTCCTCCAGACTTATGCATCTTTGTATGTGAATGTTTCAAAATAAACAGAGCTCTTCATCTGTTTCTCTCCAATATGAATAGCTGATACAGATAACCCTGCACCAAGATTTTCACTGCTCAGACTTCTCTTTAGAGTGGGCAAGCTCAACATTAGGAACACTTTAGATCTGAATGATAAACACAGAAGTTTGGAAGTGTTCACATGTGAATTCAAATAAGTGTGGGTCTGAAACTGGAGTTTGTATCTAGGGATTTGATTTAGGGTCATTTTTAATCTTTAATTCAAATCAGGTACCTAAAAGACAATTAAATAAAGATCACACAGTAACACAGTATTTCAAGAACTGCAAAATGTAAATGTCAAGTACTTATGGAGATAGTTTGACCCTTTAATGCAAGCAGCATACATGACATTAAATAAGAAAGTGTAATAAAGCTGCTTACCTTCCTCATCTGAAACATCCAGGACTTCAGTCATTGTCTCAGGGACATTGAGCTTGTGTTTCTCAGTCACAGTCTGTAAAGACAGAACCATCAAGCCACAATTTCAGCAGAAGGAAAAGTAACAGATATTGGGGGCATTTTCCATAATAGCTGCAACTGGATCTAATCAGACATTTTACAATGCTCTCTCTTCCCTTTACTTTTTTCAAGTTCAATCTTTGCCTAAGAAGTTTTTGTGCCCTCTCTCTCTCTGCGCTACAGCAAATGAACATTTACTCTGACAAAAATGACCAAGTTTTAGCTGGTTTAAAAAAAAACCACTTAGCACATATATTTATAGCTAGTGCATGTAGAATAACTCAGATCAGTGCTTCCAAGACGATTCTAAGATGAATTAAGTAATGTCTACAGAAGAGCTTTAGCAAGTTGCATGGGACATACGGAAATTATTACACTGTAAGGTATTAGGATCTGAAGCTACAAATGATGTGAAATATTTAAAGTCAAGAGGATGCAAAGTATTTGGACAGGCCGTTCGATACTTTTCTTCTTTGAAATTACAGTGGGGTTGCTACCTTGTATATTCATATTATCTTTTCATAATTACTGACATTTCTTATGTCTTTGAATACATGCATACATTAATTTACAAATCTATTCCTCTGGTTCTTCAGAGGACACAAATTTATAAGCAGACCTGAAAGGTCTTGAACATGACACAACACCAAGTAGCATGATTTTGAATTCATGGCCAGAGCAGTTCCAGCCACCACGGAAATAAAGCCACCCTACGGCTCTGCCTAACTTGGCAACCAGACACCGGAGAGCCCACTTTCATATTTTAGGGTAGTGTTACAGCAGTTGTCCCCCTTTGTAAATAGGGGAAGGTAAGGTAGCAGTGTGCATTGTGAAGCTCCCACTAAGGTGGCACTTCTTTCCTTCACTCCCTGTTCTAACTGGTACCTATCAAACAAGTAACAAACCAACATGCAACCCATTATAATTGCTGGTGGCCAAACTTCAAAGTCCTTATTCAGTTTGTACTCCTTTTCATACCAGCACTGAGGTCAATGGCCTAAGTAAAATTTAGTAAGGATTTCCAAATATGTTCCATGTTTCTGTATCTCTAGAAAACTAGTGAGGAAGATTATTCATTTGTTATGGTATTCTACTCTTCTATAAATATCAACATACCTCATCATTGCTGGATCTGTGAATTTTATGGGCAACTTGCCTAGAGAGGATTGGTTCCAGTTTTTGAAATGCATTAACTGCAGACAGCCATTTTCAACATATGTGAAGGGGAAGGACAAAACTGGTCGTCTCAACCAGCAGTCTCATTTATTCATTTTCAGTTATCTCTTCATCACGATTCATGGAATACAATTTTTGTTGGTATATTTTTAATTGCATATTTCATGTGTTGAAAACCTTTTAGCCTTCTAAGCTGCCTTCACCAATTTGTTTAACTCTCTTTTGTTCCACTGAGGTTTACCTTGACTAGAAAGGTCAGGCAGCTGTAGGGTGACAGACAGCTGAGTCAAGTTAAATGCAAGCTACAGCTCCGGTAATCTCAACCAGTTTTTTCCCCCTCCTATTAATAAAATGAGTTAACAAATCAAATCTAAATAAATAAAATCATTTATGCTCTGCAAGACAGATAAAATCATGGAAGGGGGTAGCGTAGGTTTCAAGTGAGTTACAAAGCACTGTATGCATATAGCCCTTTGCAGAAAGATAAGAATGTAACCCAGGTGATGTTCTTCTGAAGTGTATGTGCACTGAATAAAATATCCCAGGATTCAGCAAACAAGTTGAAGATGTACAGATTCTGAGGAAAGGATTAAAGAACTGAAGAGTGAGAGCTACACATGATAGCTCTTAAGGAAGTCCTCTCTGTATGAATAAATTCAAGAGATTGTTCATTCACTAAAGCACGGGCCCTGGTCCTCATGCCCACCTCAAGTACAAAATCCATGCAGAAAGGAATAGCAGCAAGGTGGAGAAAATTGTAATTTTCTAGCTCATGTCCAACCCTTGGTGCTGTGGAAGTGTTTAAAGATATATGGTGCAACCTCTGTTCATTGACTTACCCAAGTAACTGAAGACCCACTGGGTGTGCTAATGTCTAGCTTACCTATTGCTTAGATTTCAGCTTGCTAGTTCTACTGTAGAGGCTGCTGCACCTTGCTCAGTGGAAAAGGGCAGCACTCTGGCTGAGCCTTCAAAACCCATTGCTTGGCTTGGAGAAATTAGACCTAAATAACAGTGTACATTTGCTACAACTGCTAAAGGTCTCATTTTTCTGATGGTGGATGGTCAGAAAAAGCAACTTTCTGGACACTGAATTCAAGGTTAAATGAACAATCTGGCTCCAAAACTTAAAAGAAAAAGGCAGATGAGAGTATAAACTCTTGGAGCCACATGCTATTAGGGGAAAATAGAGCTTGTGGTATGTCAAACCTAGAAAAACAATACAGACCAAAATGAAATGGGTCATTTATTCATTTTTAATTAACAGTTATCTGGTGGGACCTATGCCCTGATGTTTTCTTTTAAAAAAATATTATTACAAAAATACACAAAGGAACTTTAAAGGACTTCAAAGGCAAATATGTACTTAAATAAACTGTTGTGGAAACCCATATTCATCACAGCACCAAACAAATAATAAACATTTTTTGTACAGCACCTAGTACAGCACTCTGCCAGGGACTCTTAGGTGTTGGCTTAGAAATGGTATTTAAAAGTTTGTTTTGGGGAATTGGCTTATAGGTATATGTATATGCATTAGAATGGATAGCAGGGTTAATTGATTTCTAAGATACTTGGGTCTCACACACACTGGTAGCAGACAGGCTGTCTAACACCACAAGGCCAATGGATACACACATAGCCTAAGAACTGAGGGGGCATGCCATAACACGAGATCACAGCCTTCGAGGCAGACAGGTTGTCTAACACAACAAGGCCAAAAAGAACACACAGTTTGGAAAACAATCTGGAAAGAGAGGGAGTATATACCATACTGCCCATAACACATGGAAGTGTGGGACCCCGGCTTAACATCTCGGGACAGCTAGTAACTGACATTTAGGAAAAAACTGAACTCCTAAATGCCCACTTTTTTTCAATATTTCACCAGACCATGGGGAATGTCAAGCAAGATAAGGCTCATAGGGGACATGCCGGGACTGACAGCCTCCCCACTGTGGATGCTGAGTGGGTGCAATACCAATTAGAAAAGCTCAACATTTATAAGTCAGCAGGACTGGATGGACTCCATCCGAGAGTGCTGATGGAGCTGGCTGAGATTTTCACATATCCCCTGGCAAAACTCTTTCAGAATTCATGGCACACAGGGCAGATCCCGGAGGATTGGAAGAGGGCCAACATTGTGCCCATCTTCAAAAAGGAGAAGAGAGAGGACTCGGGCAACTATAAGCCAATCAGCCTAACCTCCATCACAGGGAAAATCCTGGAAAAGCTCATTAAAGAATCTATGTGCAATACGCTCGCAGAAGGTAAGATTCTGAGCAACAGCCAGCGTGACTTTGTCATGGGTAGGTCTTGTCTTACCAATCACATCTCCGTCTATGATCAGGTCTCTGCCACCTGGACATGGGAGATGAAGTAAACGTTATATACCTAGACTTCCAAAAGGCTCTGATCTAGTATCCCATGATATCCTTGTGGGGAAACTGGAACATCTGTGGGCTCAGCTGCTCGACAGTTTAGTGGGTGGAAAACTGGCTACAGGGTAGGACCCAGGGAGTTCTCATGAATGGATCTGTGTCATCTTGTTGTGAAGTGGCCACTAGTGTCCCTCAGGGGTCTGTGCTTGGACTGGTGCTTTTCAACATCTTTATCGATGATTTGGATGGGGGGAGTGAAAAGTTCGCTGGCCAAGTTCACAGACAGCACTAAGTTATGGGGCAGTGTGGTCACGCCAGAAGATAGGTTGCAGATATAGGTGGACCTGGACAGGCTCGAGAGTTGGGCAGACTGGAATGAGGTGAAGTTTAACATTTCCAAGTGTAAGGTGCTCCATCTGGGGGCAAAAAACCTCAACAACAATATAGGCTCAGTAGTGATAGCTTGATTTACACCACGGCCAAAAGGGACCTAGGGGTAATGGTCAGCCATCACATGAATATGAACCGTCAGTGAGAGGTGGTGGTCAGCAGGGCAAACAACATGCTAGCATGCATCAACCGATGCATCTTATGTAAAACTAAGGAAGTGATACTCCCGCTGTACTCAGGCATTGGTGAGACTGAAGTTGGAGTACTGCATCCAGTTCTGGGAGCTGCACTTCAATAATGACATGGAAACACTTTAGAGGGTCCAGAAAAGAGCCACCCGTATGATCAGGGACTTGTAAGGCAAGCCATATGAGGAAAAGCTCAGGAACCTCTTTAGCCTAAAGAAAAGGAGGTTGAGAGGGGCCCTGATAGCAGCTTACAGCTATATCACAGGAGTGCATCAGGAGCTTGGTGAACAACTGTTCACTAGGGCACCCTTGGGGAAAACCAGGACCAGTGGATACAAATTCCTGTAAGGCTGCTTCAGGCTTGATACCAAGAAAAACTCCTTCAGTCAGAGGGTCCAGACTGTGGAATAAACTCCCTCCAGAGTGGTGCAGTCACCTACCCTAGAGGCTTTCAAGAGGAAACTAGGCAGTCACCTCACTGGGATCACCTAACCCTAGAGCGGGGGGCTGGACCCAATGACCTGCAAGGTCCCTTCCAGCCCGTAACAATCTATGAATCTATGAATAAGTGACACCAGTTGCAAGGCCCCAGAGCAACAGGGGAGCCTGATTCCCAGTTTTGGGGAAATGAACCAAATTCGGAGAAAGCCTAGAAGGCTACGTAGATGTGCAACCACAGAGAAACAACCAACCAGAGACAGCCACGGATGAAGAGTCATCAGGAGGGAAGGAGAATACAAAAGCAGAGACTTGAGAGTAACAAAGTGTCCCTCCTTTTCCTCCCTCCTTGTCCCCCACTTTGTCTTGTCCCTCCCCATCCATCTCCCTCAGAGGGGTCCCTGTCCCCATCACCATCCCCTGGGAAGGGTCTCTGAGACCACCATGGACAGAGGGCATCCCAGCAGCCAGTCTCATGCACCTTACTAGAGGGGGCTGTGGGCCTCGGCATCCCACCTCCAGATTGCTGACATGCTGCCATCTGACACCTGAGAAAAAGCCTCAGAGTGAAGACCACGTCCTAGCCTGATGTACTTTGACTCTGATGACAGCCCTAGGATTTGGTAGATATATAGAATTGCTCAATTGTTTGTACTTTGTTTCTGTTATCACTGGGTATCAATAAATTTGCCTATTATCAAATGGAAAGGCCATGGTTGGTCTGAGGGTACCTCTTCCCCAACTCCCCTCCAGAACAAGGTATCTGGATCCTATATCCACAGCCAACATTAGGCACTGCCAGACAAATACAGAACTGGGGATATGTTCTAGTAGTTATTTTCCAAATGTTATATTTAAACAATTATTTTTCTAACAGTCTGGATAATGCAAGACATGTCTCTGCAGAGACAAAAGATACCTTGTCATGTCTTGAACATTCAAGTAGGTATGAATCAATGTTTACTGTTAAGTGCAGAAGGCACAATTCAAGCTGGGATTTAGTCTATTTTAATAAAATATTTGCCCTCTGCTTTGGTAGTTTTGGGAGGTGGAAAATTAAACTCCAAAAAATGGAACCAATGTGCGAACATATTAGTATAAGACTCATAGTTTATTGTATTCACTGTGGCACTCTCAAAATACAGTTAAGCTAATTGTGTGAAGGGAACAGGTAGAACCTAGGCGGGCTCTCAATATTGCTTTCAGTAGGGGAGCACAAGTCTCATGTAATACTTGTCCAGAAAAAGTGCCTATCTTTACTTATGTACGGTGCTGGTAATTTCCAAAGAGATGCAGCAATGCTTTGGGAAAGGTACGAGCTCATATTTTCAACCATGAACATCTAAAGTTTGACACCCACTTTAATAGCTAGCCCATACTTAATCACCTAACTGGCCTGATTTTCAGGGTTGCTGATATCTGCTTAACTTCAGAAATCCACCTTCAGTGATAAGGTCAATATCCCAAAGCCTATGTAGAGAAAATTGTGTGCATATTTATAAATCTAATTTATACTTTCAATCCCAACTGTGTATTGAACAGTAGCAGATAAACAGTCACTTATCCATATACCCACTCTAACTACATATACAAATACATACATACTTAATTGCATGGTAAATGCTGCATTTACCTGGATCCAAGATGACCCTGAATTTAAGATGACCTCCCAATAATCAGATTCTATACACAGAAAATGTATACAGTTGTTATAATTTCCCATGTATAAAATCTAATTATTGGAGGATGGTCTTATGCACCTTCCCCCCACCCCCCACTACTGCAGACAGGGACAGGTGATGAGAGGGGCAGTAATGGGGTAGGCAGTGGGGGACAGGCAGTAAGGGATCACATGGTAAGGGGGGGCACGTAATAGGGGGCAGGCATCTTGCCCCCTCTTTGCCCCCACTTACCACCCCCCTCCCTCGTGTCTGTTCCCCTCAGACTTGAGTCCCTGCCTGCCCCCTCCCTTCACTTACCTTTGCTCCAGCGCTGGCTGGCTCCATGTCCACTGCAGCCTGGGGCACAGAGCCCAGCCCCATAGCAGTGGTGCAAAGCCAACACTGCTGCTGTGGGGCCAGACTGCAGTTGTGCTCCATATTCCAGGTTGCAAAGTGGACAGAGCTTTCCAGTACAGGAGCAAAGGATGCCAGGGGAAAGAAAGTGGGCAGAAGCAGTACAGGAGGGAGATGAGGGAGGGAAGGGGATGAGAGGGTGAGACAGGGGGTGGCAGGAACCCAAGGCTGTGGGGGTTGCAGAGGCATACTCAATTCCAAGAAAACAAACTTTTCCCCAGCCCTCACACTAAATAAGGGGGGAAACATCGTCTTGGAATAAATGAAAGATGGTATCAGAAAATCAAACCTATTCCACCCACACAAACTACATTGTCTAAGTTTTTATTTTTAGATTTAAATAAGATTGGGTGAAGCTCCTCTCAGTAGCATTTCTTTATATTCTTATAGGTACACTGGCATCCAAAGACTTATACTGACAAACAAGAGGAAAATGGACTTAACCTGTTTCAGGTTAGATCATGGGACTCTAAGAATGCAAATTCTTTAAATGTCAGTGTCTTAATAGAGCCCCAGACTAACATCATCCATGCCTCATTCTATTATAACCTTGGAGAATGCAGTAGCTATGGTGACAATACTGGTGTGATGTACCTTTTTTAGTGCTGTGTTTTCTGCTGGCAGTATCAACCTCACCATCTGGAGCCCTTCACTGAGGGGTGTGCCTATAATTTATCCTTCCTTTTGAGCAACAGTTCCAAGAGCTCCTCAAGCAGCCAAATTGTCTCTTTCAGGAAGATGCAGAGGAGACTATATGACCTGCAAAGCACCACCAAAGTGGGTTTGAGGATACAGTCATTCATTTCTGGCAAACTCCATTGATTTCTTTTGGAGTCACCAGGGATGAATCTGCCCACGATGCCTAAAACATTTTTTATCTCTGACCAAAGTCATTCAGGTTTAACAAATGCTTAATGTTCAGCTAGAAGCTCCTGCTATCTGCCATATCTGGAGACAGGTCTTTCTTTCATGTAATGTATGGTGGTGCACAGAGAATTAAGCCCCATTGAGGTACACAATGGTACTACAGAAACGGAAAGGAAGTGCAATAAGCATGTAGGGAAAATGTTGGAAGGATAGCCAAAAATACGGTAACAAAGGCTGCATATGCTACTTTATAGAGTGGTATTCAGGAGTTTAGCAGAACAAGTACCAAGAGTCTGTATATATTACTATATGATTGAATAAATTAACATTTATCAGCAAAACATTTGTTTAAGATTCTTCTGGAGTTAGATACAGTTTTGGACAAGAAAGACAGCTCATTAATAAATCACAGTACACTCTATTTATAATATCATGCCATGCCAGGTTTGTTCCATCTTCCTCAGTTCATTTCAGTAGGGATCTGCTGTCTGTATGTGACTTAACATCAACACTCCTTTCCCTCATTCATCTCAAAAGATTTTGGTTCTCCTCCAGAGTTATAATATTTAGTAATATCTTTTCATGAGTCTTTGGATTCATTATATGGGGCCTGTAATTCTATCAAGTTTTAAGCTTTAAAAATAATCATTATCCTTATAAAGATTCAAGGTAAAATGCAGTAAGGCAAAGTTACGGAGTAAAGGAGTGTTACTGTCTTCAATGATACATATATTTCAGGACCTATGTTTTTAAGTCCCAAAAAAGTGGTAGACTCTGGTGATAAGTGGCCAAAGAGAAAGAGAGGCTCCCTGCCCCCTTGGTAGGAGAACACAGCCAGTCTTTCTGGTTAAAAGCAAACATGCCGCCTTGGCTGATCCCAATGCTGTTTGGCCTATCTTCTTCATGAAATACCAGGGAGTTTCAGTGTTGGGAATGTGAGCAGGGATTCTTCTACATTACAGAAAAACAGAAGCCATTTGCTCTGGTAGTGATTTCAGTGAAATGAGGATATATGTGTTTCAGAGCCACTTAGCAAGTATCATAAAGCCTGGCAGCACTCCATCACCGGCACAGCCGAAGTGTTCAGAACTTTGCTGTGGTAGTGCTGAAACATTTGAGCCTCAGCAGGTGTCATAGAGGAAAGAGAGCAAATAAGGAGAGATTTACAAGAAGGAACCAGGGTCGTGGAAAATTAAAACAGAGAAATGAGCCACAATCTGTATAACTCCTCCCAAACTGCAGGAACATTTAGATTTGCAACTCAAGTCTCTCTCTCAAATGTTATACTGCACATCTAAGTATTTATTTCTCTGTGTATGCAATCTTAGATTTCTATAGCTAGGTCTATGAATCCTGGGTACTCTACACACTTGTAATATGCCTAAGTGGATATCCTGCAAAAATCATAGCATATTTGAAACTCCCATACAAAGGGAGAGGAGGGGAAAGGGCTGAAAATCACTTTAAAAAAAAAGAGGAACGGACATACACACAGGGCATTTGAAGCAAGACAGCAGAGACAGCATTAGGAAAAAAGAATGGAAGCCTTATAATGCATTTAATACTCACAGTCGTGGTGGTGGTGATCTCCTCTGTTACAACCTTCAGAGTATCGACCACTGAGATGTATCCCAGACGCCTTGCAATCGCTAAGGCAGTGTTACCATTCTGAAGAGAGAAAGAGACAGAGAGAGACGGAGAGAGAAATGAGAGGGAGGACTGTGATGTGATCCAATGAGATCACTCCCAGCACCGTATGAGCCAGCATTTCCATCCAAAACAAGGAACAGCTTAGGAAAATCACTGCTTTTTACCGTTACATCTGAGTCTGTCTTTGTAACTTCTTTAAGACTATAGCCCTGATTGCCATGGTAACACAACACACTTACATCTGCATGCTACTCCTAATAGAAATGTGCTGGTGCTTTAACCCTACAGTTGTCGAACTCCACTACACACGATGCACTACAATTGCAGGAGTTTTGTTCCTGCTCTATTTTGCAAAAGCTCTTTTACTTTGGAGAGTCCTCTAAAAAGTATTAAGAAGTTTTACAGTGTAACTCCTGTTGGAAACAATTCACATGAGCAGTAAGTACACTGATCCCTTAGGGAAGAAAGCATTCCGCTTCCCTTCCACATTCCCCCGACCCTGCTACAGCAAAATTATTTATATATGACTTATACAAAAGCTCATGGTACAACATAGAACAAAATAAAATTAAAGTAGAGCTTAGGGCATGGGGTGAATTTTTACATTTGAATGCACTTGTTCAAATTTTAAACAGCTACATCCCATATATAAATATGTCACTACTTACCTAAATGTTATAGCAATCATTACAAACTAATTAGCCCTATTTATGTCAAAGGAAAAAAATTAAGTAATTAATCCAACAGTACCATGGGAGGTGGATAGGCAATAATTTATTTATTTATACAGGTTGGATAGTCATACCCTCACTGCCACTAAAAAGTACTCTATACCAGGGGCGTCAAAATTAAGGTCCATGGACTGAATTCAGCCCAAAGTGCTCCTTGAGCTGGGGAAAAAGTACAGATGGGGCTCATCACTAAATTCCTGGGTATGGAGGACATGTGCTGGGGATGCATGTCCATGGCTAAGGGATGTGTGGTAATAGCCCCCAGGCCACTACTGCTCCCACTTGCCCACTGAGTCCAGATCCAGCTGCAAGGTGCTATATAGCCCAGATCTATCCAGCAGGTGTGGTCAAGGTTGACACCCCTCCTCTATGCCATCAGTTATCCCACTGATATTGGTTGTACTGCATTTCAAATAAAGCATGGTCAGTTTAAGTAACAATATTCAAATATGGTCAAATTCATTCATTTCAGAGTGCCCATCACCATAGCATAAAGCTAGCACAATGATTGGCTTTTTGCTAGAAGTTGAACTTTCTGAAAGATTTTGGACGCAAGAGACGAAAAGTTTGAGAGTGTGTCACTGAAGTTAGCCGATGTTATCAGTGCCCACGTCAAACTAGCCTAAGTGCAAGTGGCTAAACTGCATAGCCATACTTGAGCTTCTGCATTGTCACTGGTGTTATATTCCCCAGCAGGTGGTGCCCAGACTGCCAGAGTCATATCCCATGGTTCTTTGGGTAGCAGTAAACTGAGCTATTCTATGCATTCTTCTGTCCTGGGCACATGGGAAGAATGATGGGAAAGCACTTGAGCATGCTCAGCACTCAAGTGAGTTATCCTATGTCCTCACCGCAAAGTGGGCATATTTCAGATGGGGGTACTGTATTTGCTGCAGCAGTAGCATGAGTTACCAATACTCAAATGAACTCCTCTTGAATTAGCTTAGTTTGAATGACAACAGCCACACTGCAAAATACTATTTGTATGGCTGAGTGTCTGACTGTAAGCCCAGAGCAGCTGCATGCCCTCTGCTTTACTGGCTTGGGCAGCACCAGCACTCAAACTTCAACCCATATTCTATACACAGCCAAACTGCAATTATCACTTAGAAATTCTTCTTCCCCAATCCTGTAGTCAGCTTAAAGCACAAACTTTCTCTCCACTGGAAAGAGCTTTACACTTGACCAGGGCTTACTTGAGAACAGAGCTCCCAGAGAGCACAGGAAAGGAAAATACATTCCCCAATGTGGCAAAGAGCTATAAGAGAAGCACATTCACCAAAGCAAAATGCTTTCTCTCCAGTGAGAAAAGGAGTCGGATGAAAAAGCTTCAGGTAGTGCACCAGACTTACTGTGGTGATGGCATTGGGTTTGGCCCCATGCTGGAGAAGAACATTGATGATATGAGTGTGGCCTTGCTGAGCAGCTTGGTGCAAAGGAGTGTAGCCATTCTGTTATTGGTGACAATGATTTTTGAGGAGAGAAAAAAAAAAAGACAATTATTAGAATATTTGTCATTATGCCTTCAAGACCTTCCATGCTAGCAATTTAGGAACAAATATAACCATACTCACAGGGCGTGTGTAGACCAAACAGGGACCCTAAATTAAAGTGGTGGGTTTTAAAAAACACCGATTCAGTTTAGGGCTGATTAAATCCCCGTGTCGTGCAAACACCCTGCTGGCTGACCTGCCTCTCTGGCGGGGCGGGGAGGGGAGGGTGAGCTGCCGATGGGTAGAGCAGTCCCTGAGGTGTTGTGGGGGCAATGGTGCTTCCCTCCACAGCAGCTGCGGCCCCCCACCCCACCCCCGGCAGCACCCACCCGCAGGCACCCAGCTTGGGCGGACCTGGGGAGCACCGCAGCTGTGGAGGGAAGCACCAGGCCCCCACGCAGCTCAGGAAGGCAGGCAGGCTCCAGGGGAGGAAGAAAAAAAAGATCAGGCTTGCTGCTTTTCGTGGGCGGAGGCTGCTTTCCCGGGCTGCTGCCAGGCTGCCTGCAGGGCTTCCTGCAGAGCCGTGGTGCTGCGTGGAGCCCGGTGCTTTGCTCTGTGGTTGTAGGGGCAGCAAACTAAAACTCCTCAAAGGAGTTTTAGTTTGCTGCGCCCTAAGTCATTTAAGGCGCATTACACTGTTAAATTTCCTACAGTGGCTGGAATTAATGCGCAATACTCCGCCGAGACATGCAACCATCGACACCATTAAAGTGGTGCAAAAGCATTTAGCCCACTTTAAAGTGTCATGCAAACATGCCTCTCATTTCGTCTACACATGGCCATAGTCTTATCTAGTCTTTCTATTACTTACTGAAGCCATAAATATTTTGACTTGTAGAGTATCTAACAAGACCAATGATCTTCAAAGGTGGGCATTGGTATCTTGGTTTCACATATGGAACAAGGAACAGAGAAGCCATGTCCAAGGCTGGAGAGTGAATCAGGAGAAAAGCAAGGCCATTTTTAAGGTACCTAAGGAATCTGCTTTTAACAGCATTTGGGCCAATTTTGTACGCAATTTAATTTATACTGATTAAGTCCATTTATTCTTACAGAAGTCAACTGTTTAATTCTACTAGACATGTTGGTTTAGTTCCTCTTGGATTTGTCTACAGCAGGTCCAGCTATGCCACAGAAGCAATGAAACATATTTGCACGCTCTTCAGAAAACATCCTTTAATTCTGAGTATTCATCTGCTCCACTGATCCATTCTGTTGCTACACAATACAGAAACATAACCAGACTCAATTTCAGCTTGCTGATCTGAGCTAGTATTGTATGAATCCAGTCAGGCAGTTCATTTCTAAAATTATCTGCAATTGGCTTTGAAAGAGGACAGAGAATAAGACTGGGCAAAAACACCAAATTGATTTCATCTGACCATTTATATATGAAAGCCTTAGGGGTCTCAGACTAATCCTTTGGACTATGGAGTATACCTCAAACTATTGTGTGTACCTCTTCTGTGGCTGGATGGGAGACAATAATTCTTGGTACTTTAGTAAGCCTTCTGCTATTTAGGATACACATGCATGTAACAATGATGATATAGAATAAAGGTTTACTAGAGGTCATGGTGTTTCATATTGGCAACAGTCATTAATTAAATATCAGCCCAATCTCACAGGATACAGTCCAGCCACATCATTTTTTTCACTGGACATGCCACCCAACATCCTGAAAGCTCTGTCCATCTCAGGAAGGAACCACAACAGCATGCCGTCCAGCTATTATTAACAGGTCTGCTGTGACTCCAGCCAGGAGTCAAGTGGCTCCACTGTTAGGAATTTTAAGGCTTTCTTAGATATGAGTTATTGGAAAGGCAAGGGGTCCGATTCTGATTCCAATTAGTCTCTTTTTATTCAAGCCAAATCAACTATGTATATTCTAGACAAATGGTATAATCAGGGTAAGTGACACCACAAGCTGAGCCAATAAGCCCCATTGAGATCTTTGATTAGGGACCACTGGAATGTGTGCCAGAAGTGCATTGTGCGGCAGCTCCTTTAATCTTGCAGTTTCCCCCGTCTGCCTCCATCCATCCATCTGTCCGTCCATCCCCCACCTCTCCGCCACTGATTGGTGAAGGGGCCCTGCCGCACAACCCTGATCAGTCAGGAGGTGAAAACTGCGGTTTTAAATAGGCCATGGTTTTTGCCCCCTGCTGCTGATTGGTGAAGGGGCCACTTGCTGCATATTTAAAACTGTGATTTTCATCTCCCAGCCATCAGAAGCAAGCAGTGAGTGGCGGGGCCAACAAGGCCCCTCCACCAATCATTGGGGGAGGGCATGGAGAGGAAACTGCAAGATTAAAGGAGCTGCCACACAGTATACTTCCATTATGAATTCCAGCTGTCCCTACCTATGATGATACCTAGCAGGTAAGAGGCAAATACTCATTGCTTTACATTGCAGGTGGGAGTGCTAGAAGCTGTCATGTTGTTAGCAATTTTGGTAACTTCCCACTGTCTGATGTTAATGTGGATTATCAGCTGCTTCTTTTTTTTTTTGGTGGTGTTACAAGTGTTTTTACCAGTTCTTTTAAAGACCTATATGGTTTGTACCAGAAATTGTGAGTAACCACACTGGAAATGCTCTAACTGCATGTCTACCAATGTGGTTTTTTGTGTATTGCTATTGCCACTTGCATTGTTTTCAGCTGCAACACCTGTCTGAGGAGTGAATCCAGAGTACGTGTGAGCAGCTGGAGACAGAAGAGCCAGCAGGAATGATCAGTGATTCACAAAACCACAAGTAGTTTTGTGGTTTTGACCAGAACTCAAAAACATCACATGTGCCATTGGAGCCCTCAAGTGAACATCACTGACCCCAAAAGGAAGCCATGTAAGTATATTACTACACCAAGTGCCAAGAACAGGCTATTGATAAGAATCCAGTCTGAAGTAAGGCCTGGAGTACCAGGGTCCTCTCCTGGTGCAAATGACATGATGACATGATGACGTGATACAGCATGAATTCGTGGGCACAGTAGTTGCATATCCTAAGAAGCTACAGAGTTCTCAACATTATAGCACATCTTGGGCCTTGTTCTGGTCTCAGTTATACTGGTGTATATTAGAAGCAGCTCAGTTGAAGTCAGTTGATTACTAGAGGTGTGCGAAGTGGGCCCTATTCGATTTGGATTCTGCCTGAAGCAGGGATAGTGATTTGATTTGTTGATTCAGATCACTGTCCAAGATTCAATTCAGCTGAATCCAAATCTGAAGATTGGATGCTGATTCGGAGAATCAGCAATTTGGTAAAAAGACACAGCTTTAAAAGTTTTTTCTACATACCTTGAGGCACCAAGCCTGGCTTGTGAATGCTGCGATGCTGGGGCACATGAAGCGTCCCACAGGAGTGCGGGGTGGGGAGGCCTCCACGTGCTTGGTGGCAAACCTGGAAGTGGGTCCCCCCACACCCCTCTGGCTCACTGATTGGCTGCAGCGGGACCATGGGTTCCCCCCCAGACCCAGGAGGCACCAGTCACCCAGCCGGGGGGCATGGGGGGGCCCCCTGCGCGCTCTTCGGCAGACACGGAAGTGGATCAGAAGTGCTTCTGGTCCACTTCTGGGTTTCCTGCCGAGCATGGTGGGGAGTCGCCCCATACTTCTGTGGGACACTCCATGCGCCCCAGCATCGCAGAATGCATGAACCGCCTGGTACCTTGAGGTATGTATTTAAAGCTGTCTCTATGTCTGAATCTCCAAATCTTTCTGAATATCTCCAAATCAATTCAGAGGGTTCCTATTTGATTTAGAGAGATTAACGGGTCCTCTGATTCAGTTCGGAGATTTGGCCACCAAATCGGGCCAGATCTCCGCCAAATCAAATCAGGGACCGAAGCTTTGCACAGCCCTATTTATTACACAGATGTAAAACTCATGCGAGTCAGCCAGAAGTAAGCTCACAGGGGCTTGTGATAAGTAACAGATAAAGAAAAATAAAACAAAGCAGATCCCCTTTCACATACGGCCACAAATGTGCAGGCACAGACACACACATGCAGTTAATTGATCTGACTTGTTTGAAAGAATAACACACCCCAAAGGAGTGCAGAGACGACTCATTCTACCACAGCCACATATCATCAGATGTCAATACCTTCGATGCATAGCTAATGTAAAATTTCCCAAGGAGAGGGGAATAGTAGTGTTTGTGTCTTAGTAGCTGAGGGTTGTTTTATTTTAGTTTTTTTTTAACAAGAAGGAAATTCACCAAAACAAGTTAAAAAAAAAAGCGATGAAAAAATCCTTTACCTTTGTTTTAGCGTTGACATTGGCTCCCTGCTTGAGAAGGAAATTCACCATCTTGATGTTTCCATAGTGACAAGCTACAATTAAAGGAGTGTAACCCAGCTAAAACAAAACAAACAAAAACACAAAGAGTAAACCCGTAGTCTCAGTGTACTGTTCCTGTATAAAGATAACCTGGGAAGAAGCTTCCTTTCTATGGTTTACCTTTGTCTGAGCATCCTGGTTTGCTCCATGCTTTGTCAGTATATCAGCTACATTCACTTTATCCTCCTGTGCAGCAAGGTGTAAAGATGTCAGTCCAGTCTACAACAGAAAGAAAAAGAGAACTGTAATGTTACCCTAGCAGAAAGGCAAAAAGACTTTTGAATCCTTCATTGGGAAATCCTGTCTATAATTTAAAAATATAGATATTTAACCAGGAACTCTATCCACAGAAAACTGACAAACAGCTCACCATAATGAAATGCCATCTGCTGTCACTGCAGATGCATGTTTTCAGACTACAACTACAAGATCTGGACTTTACATTATAAGGCCTCCAGTGAATGTGATGGCCTCCTTTCTTGGGAGATATGGCTCCTTCCTCAACTGTGACAAAAAGCCTTAATAGCTATTAAGGTGGGAGACAGAAAAAAGGAAATGCCCCATAAGAAAGTTAAGGCAACCCTAAAATAAGAGCTAACGTTAGGCTTAACACACATTCCTTGCATCACATGCAAGGAAATGGGAAAGAGCTTATGAACTGAATATGAGGATGGGAAAACAATTTACTCCCCATTTTTTAGAAGAAAGCCAGAGAATAAGTTTTCACTCCTGAGAGCTGTGGATGCAAGGACAATACTTTAAGAATATAATACTCTGCATCATCATGCAGCTGGATGAAACTACATCATCTAAAGACTTACTGGGTATGTCTACATGAGATGTTACTGAGGAGCTGCCTAATTAGTTCCACAGTAAAGTCTCAGTGTCTATACATATAGCCTATTAGGCTACTGTAAACTAATAAATGCCTCCATAGATTAGTACTTATCAACCCGAGTACTATCCTATGGCAATATTACTTAGTGCACCACAATGCATGTGTGTAGATGCTGATGGGGCTGGCTGGGGCATGAGAGTGCTTCAGTGCAGAGGCTGCCTGCTGGATAGCTCCACACTGGACTGCCCTCCTGCCCCAGCCAGCCCCTCTGCAGCATATTGAGCCAGGTTGGAGCAGCCCCAGGTTAGCAGGCTGATCCCCCAAGATCCCTGTAGCCAGGGCTGTTCTGTCCCAGCTCAACATGCTATGATCCTGGGCACACATGTAAATGCAGCACCCAGGAGCAATAAACTCCAGCACAGACTATGCTGGAGTTTATTGCTTCGCATCAACAGCACATATAGATGTGCCCACTGTCATGCTTTTCTCAGGAACCAAGTGATCTTCTATGAAAGAACTGGCTTGCATTCTTGTAGACAGCCCAACAGATCTGGGTGGGTTTCATTATGATGGGTTCCCATCTTCAAAAAAGGGAGGAAGGAGGACCCAGGGAACTATAGGCTAGTTAGTCTTACCTCGATCCTGGGTAAGATTTTTGAGAGAATTATCCTGGCACATGTCCACAAGGGGCCAGCAGGGGAGGTTATGCTTAGGGGCAACCAACACA